GTTTTGGACAACTCATCTGATGTCTGTTTGGTGGTAAATAATTTTTTGATATGGTGCATGAGGATATGAATGTCCAAATATTATTACCCCAACAAATTTGCTATCAATATTATATATTACCGTTTCCTTGTAGGGACTCCTAACAAACGCTGTGGTGCAGCTATTGCAGAGGTGGAGACTACACCAAAGAGAGCCAGGGTAGCTCATACTCCTCAAAGTATGTCCAATCAATTATCAGAAATCAGTCAGTATACAAATTCAGTACTATAGAACTGTTATTCCATTTCAGGATCTGCTGTGCTCCCATCCCCACAGACATTCCCGCTGCCCACTCCCAAGCGGCCAGTCCAGAGTGAGTCCCAACTACATTCCTACATAAACCCTTCTATGCAAAATTAATTAATAAATTGTTACTCCATTTCAGGATCTGCTGTGCTCCCATCCCCACAGACATTCCCGCTGCCCACTCCCAAGCGGCCAGTCCAGAGTGAGTCCCAACTACATTTCTAGATAAACCCTTTGCAAAATTAATTACTAAATTGTTACTCCATATTTCAGGACCTCCTGTGCTTCCTTCCCCAATGCCTCTCCAACTGTCAACTCCCGTGCGGCCAGTCCAAGGTGAGTTCAACAAGCATGGTTCAAACAATTTATTTTCTTGAACTATTTCTACCACTGTGATGTGTTTTTAATGTAGATGTTGTACTGCCCACAGTGCCCGCGGCCACATACACACCTACAGCTGGGAGGCAGAAGGTGCTAGCTGGCTGGGCAGCTCCTTCTCCTGCTCCTTCTCCAACACCACCAGACAAACTGACTGTTACATTTTTGAAACGCTTCTTAACAGAGAAAGGGGAAAAGGGCCTCAGTCGTTTGAAAAAAGATCAGCTTTTACCTATTTACATGCGTTATCTGAAGTAATGTAATTGAATTTGACAATTAATTTCTGTGACAAATATTCCTGTATTGTTAATATTGTTGTATATTTTATTTGTATATTACTGCAGCTCAGCTGTGCAAGTTGTCGTGTTTTTTTTTGTTTGTATGAATGATTGTATGAATAATGTAATCATGATGTAATGTCTGTCTATATTATGTTGCAATATAGCTGAAAGTGCAAACTGACTCCTCATTTCGAACATTTCCCACTTCATTTTATTTTTTTATTTACGCGTGCAAGAAGCGTGCACCCAGTACTGCTTTTGAAAGATTCAAATACCCGCCATGCCGTTGTCTGTGACCAACACTCCGCCACGAAATCCACTGCGCGTAGAGTAGTGGATTTTAGTATTCGCAAGGTGCCGAAATGGAGAAGAATTAGAGAGAGACAGACGATAAGTTTCACCGTCTACCACCAGAGTTCCTCACGGTTGAGTGCAACGATGGGTAACAAAGATGGCCGCCTGCAACGATGGGTAACACTTACTACGCGCGTCGCAGCGTAACAGTGTTTCGTGAGATATCGCGAAGCCTGTTACGCGAGACGTGGTCTGGCGTACATCTACCTAGTCACACAAATGATGGCCTCTTTCTGTTTCAATAGAAAGCAGGAGGAAGTAAGGTTCTTCAAATTTGTGTTATTGGCTGAGCGATTAGCTCATGAAGATTGGTGCGTGCAAGACCATTATAGGTTGTACTTGACACGCCCAGGGCAGCCCTTTTTGGCTGAGCGATTAGCGAAGCCCATAACTCCACTGACCGGAAAAGTTTCATTCTGTTTGTTTGTTTGTTTGTTTGTCTGTCTGTCTGTTTGTTTGTCTGTCTGTCTGTTTGTATGTCTGTCCGCACGATAACACGAGAAAGAATTGAGATAGCGACCTGGAATTTTCAGGGTCGTTTTGCATCATAAAAAGACTGATCGAGTTCGAAGATGAGCATTCTAGCTCAAAAATTGGCTTTTTAAAAAATCAAAAACTACAGGTCGCAATATGTATTTTTATCAAATATTTTTTATGCGTTCCTAAGGGGTAACTCGTCAAAGTAGAGCCCTATGGGCGAAAATGTCGTCCGTTTGGCTCTAACTTGTACCGTTTAGGTGCTAGGGGGCATTTCGTGGCAAAAATGACGTGAAAAAGACAAAATGGTCCATTAAATCGTTAAAAAAAACTACATTTCAAAAAATTGTATATACACTCCTATTACCCCGTCTTGGGTGTCAGCGCCGCAGGCCTAGCTATATGAGCGCCAGGCGCGTCGCAGCGTAACAGTGTTTCGTGAGATATCGCGAAGCCTGTTACGCAAGACGTGGTCTGGCGTACATATAGCTAGTACTACCTGACAATAATCCCTTTTCTTTCTAATTGGCTGGCATTAATGATGTTAAGGTGATGTCAAAATAGCTAGCTCTTTGGATTTCTCCCTGGGATCTAATGAAGTTTTGTGGTATTTATTTTGATGATGAGAAAGAACTAAGGGCCAGGAAAGATTGAAGGAATCACCCTCAAAGATTACAAAACAAGAAACGTCACAGTATTGATAATCAAAATTGAAGATTAACGATTCTTTAAAGACTTCAAGCAAAAACGATACCAAGGTTTGTATGCTTTATTGTTTATCTTTGTGTAGACTTTTTAGTTTGCGGTTACTTACTAGCAAAATTTGAAATGGCCTCACAGACCATTGTCAAGAAGGCAAGCAAATCTTCCAAATGGGAAATTGCCGAAGATATAGGGAAACGAAACAGTGATGGCAACATACCTGGTGATACTACAGAGCAGATTACTGCTGAGACTTTTGATAAAAGTAAAGTTGACGGTGTGAATGGCAGTAAAAATGTGATGGCTCAGGTGGTGAGGTGATTGAAGAATACAAGGAGGTAAAGTGTCCACTTGGATCGTGTATGTGGAGTTAGATTCCATTTGCGTATTCTCTAAATGCAACCCCTGTGAAGTTGACCACCCCACAACAAC